CAAGAAAGACTGAATGTTCGGAGAATATTTGTTAAAAAAAAAAATGTGTTCACAGAATGTTACAGTGAAACTGAATGGCATTCCTTCATTCTGCAAGTGACAATTAATTATTTATGTTGACCTTATGAGTAAGAGGGGAGGAAATGTTGTGTATTTTGTTAACGTTGTTTATTTAACTACATCTCCCAGAATGCAGTGTTACGTTGTAGCCGGAAGTGTTCCGGTAAAAACAGTTGACATACGAAAACCCAGTAAAGAGAGCAGTCACGCTAAAACAGTGCAAGTGTCTTATGTGTTGAGTGCGCCGTTCATTCTTTCTAAAGATACAATAGAAATCGCATCATATGGCCCCTTTAAAGATTACCAAAGAAGCAAAGAGTAACAATGAAAACATTAATACTGAGAAAAATGATACTGCTGTGCAAGAGCTGCATATGAACAATGATAGAGAGAGATGGAGAAAGAACTTCACTCACTGTTGGTCCTTCTTTATGTGGCAGATATAATGACCACACATTGTGCTCGTTCCCATGTGACTGATGAACGCAAAAAGCTCATACTCTTCGGGACAAAAGAATGGGAAAGATGAGAAGAGAGCAAAATATTTATGATCCCGTTTACAAAAATCACCATTTAATAAATACCACAGAAACACATACTTCCTGGTCCATCACGGACACGCGGCCCTGGAGGAGGTTCCCAACTGGCTTCACTTCCTCCCTCTGAGCGCCCACCCTCAGACTAGAGACCTGCACTACGGCGGGAGTAACTACCGCGGGACCCAACTCAACAGGGTGCGGCGCGGGACAACTCTTGATGGGCGAGTGCGGGTGCGGGCGGGAAGAGACTCGTGTGTGTGCAGGATGCAGGAGAATAAAATGATTCGCGGGACTCCCGCAAAATAGAAATTATCTAAACATAAAGTGTCTAAAACCTATAAATTGTTATTTATCTGTTGCACAAAAGCAAAAAGAACAACTAATAAGATTAAAATGATTAACACGCGCAAGATAGGCAGAGTTTCTATTTATAACACGTTTTTAAAGGGTTGCGCCAATGTAGTCGTGTCAGTTTTTAGTGATAATAAAGGAAGCGCTGCTCCATGCCAAACCATGCACGCAGCAGCCCATGCTTGCTTTTCTGTTGTGAATGTTGATGCTTATGATGCTTAACAAATATTTTATCG